CACCTGTCTACACCTCACCTGTCGACTCCTGTCTACACCTCACCTGTCTACTCCTCACCTGTCTACACCTCACCTGTCTACTCCTCACCTGTCTACATCTCACCTGTCTACACCTCACATGTCTACTCCTCACCTGTCTACACCTCACCTGTCTACTCCTCACCTGTCTACTCCTCACCTGTCTACACCTCACCTGTCTACTCCTCACCTGTCTACACCTCACCTGTCTACTCCTCACCTGTCTACTCCTCACCTGTCTACACCTCACCTGTCTACTCCTCACCTGTCTACTCCTCACCTGTCTACTCCTCACCTGTCTACACCTCACCTGTCTACACCTCACCTGTCTACTCCTCACCTGTCTACTCCTCACCTGTCTACTCCTCACCTGTCTACACCTCACCTGTCTACACCTCACCTGTCTACACCTCACTTGTCTACACCTCACTTGTCTACACCTCACCTGTCTACACCTCACCTGTCTACTCCTGTCTACACCTCACCTGTCTGCTCCTGTCTACACCTCACCTGTCTGCTCCTCACCTGTCTGCTCCTCACCTGTCTACACCTCACCTGTCTACTCCTGTCTACACCTCACCTGTCTGCTCCTCACCTGTCTACACCTCACCTGTCTGCTCCTGTCTACACCTCACCTGTCTGCTCCTCACCTGTCTACACCTCACCTGTCTACACCTCACCTGTCTGCTCCTCACCTGTCTACACCTCACCTGTCTACACCTCACCTGTCTACACCTCACCTGTCTACACCTCACCTGTCTACACCTCACCTGTCTACACCTCACCTGTCTACACCTCACCTGTCTACTCCTGACTACACCTCACCTGTCTACACCTCACTTTGTCTCCACCTGTCTCCCTGTTTCTACCTCACCTGTCTCCACCTGTCTCTACCTCACCTGTCTCCACCTGTCTCCCTGTCTCTACCTCACCTGTCTCCTGTGTGTCTGCAGTCACGGTGTGTGTCCTCAACTGACGATGGAGAACAGAGACCGTCTGAGAGTCCGGGACCTGCTGACAGCGCACTACGACCTGGACTACCACCACAACCCTAGGGGGTCCAACTACTGGAGGAACAGGTAAACACACACAGGTGAACACACCCAGGTAAACACACACACACACAGGTAAACACACACACAGGTAAACACACACACACATACAGGTAAACACACACACAGGTAAACACACACACAGGTAAACACACCCAGGTAAACACACACACACCCAGGTAAACACACACACACACACAGGTAAACACACACACAGGTAAACACACACACACACACACACAGGTAAACACACACACAGGTAAACACACACACAGGTGAACACACCCAGGTAAACACACACACACCCAGGTAAACACACACCCAGGTAAACACACACACACACAGGTAAACACACACACAGTTGAACACACACAGGTAAACACACACACAGGTCAACACACACACAGGTAAACACACACACAGGTAAACACACACAGGTAAACACACACACACAGGTAAACACACACACACAGGTAAACACACACAGGTGAACACACCCAGGTGAACACACCCAGAGGCCTGTACTACGAAGCCGGTTCAACCTAACCTGGATATGTTTGAGTTAGCCGGTTGGCCCAATCCAAAACATACGCGCTCTCGCTAAGCGGTCCTACGACGCTGGTTATCAAGTGGATCGCTCAAGCCAGCCGTGTCCTATCTAGTTAGGTGCGCGTTCACATGAAAGGGGTGGTATTTGGAGCATTCGACCAATCACAAACATGGACAAGCGTACTGACAGCGCAGCGTCATACTTCCTGAATGAAAAGTGAACTTTAATATTAGTCAAATATGAAGAAGTTAAACTTTAAACATCCATGACTTAAACACTTTATCCAGGATAAAAGCCACATAGCTGCACCTGCAAGGTGAATACAGCTGGTAAAAGAAAAAGTGTTTGAATGCGTACATTAACAGCTTTATGATATCACTGCCCCGTCCAAGACACGAGTGGATCTGACTTTAATTACATTTGACTCGAGTGTTTCGTCAACTTAATGTGTTGCTTAAAATAATAATTCTGCATACAGTATGTGACACTGTGAGTGTTGCACGGCCAGATACGGCTCAGCTGACTCGGATAAGAAGATATATGATACATTATGATGTGATATGATATGAATGATAATGGGACACATCGACGTCTGCACTCACAGTGCCGGACTGTACGTAATGTTACTCTGATCCGGTTACTTATGTTGTGGCAGATATTTAAGTAAGCTTTCTTAACGCTAATGTTATAATAGTCAGATTGCTCTGAAGATGGGAGGGGATATTCTATTCATGTTCACGTTCACACAGTCGGTTGATTTTTGCCGGCCGTCTTTCCTGCAACGGCAGTTTTTCTGTATTTCCTCTATCCTGTAATATGACTTGATAGCTTTAAACTCCGCACACGGAGCTCAGTTTGGTCAGCAGGCGGTGCTTTCACTGAGTTGATCTCTTAGCCTGCAACCTAACCTGCTCCCGAGGAGGTTAGCCGCTCAGCATAAGTTACCATGGAGATCTAGCCCGCTAAAAAGAGAACCAGCGTCGTAGGACCGGAAAGCCCGAGCTTTCCCTGAAGTCAGCCCGCTAAGAGAAAATCCGGCTTCGTAGTACAGGCCTCTGGTGAACACACCCAGGTAAACACACCCAGGTAAATACACCCAGGTAAACACACCCAGGTGAACACACCCAGAGGCCTGTACTACGAAGCTGGTTCAACCTAACCTGGATATGTTTGAGTTAGCCGGTTGGCCCAATCCAAAACATACGCGCTCTGGCTAAACTGTACTACGACGCTGGTTATCAAGTGGATCGCTCAAGCCAGCCGTGTCCTATCTAGTTAGGTGCGCGTTCACATGAAAGGGGTGGGGTTTGGAGCATTCGACCAATCTCAAACACGGACAAGCGTACTGACAGCGCAGCGTCATACTTCCTGAATGAAAAGTGAACTTTAATATTAGTCAAATATGAAGAAGTTAAACTTTAAACATCCATGACTTAAACACTTTATCCAGGATAAAAGCCACATAGCTGCACCTGCAAGGTGAATACAGCTGGTAAAAGAAAAAGTGTTTGAATGCGTACATTAACAGGTTTATGAAATCACAGCCCCGTCCAAGACACGAGTGGATCTGACTTTAATTAGGAGAATTTGACTCGAGTGTTTCATCAACTTAATGTGTTGCTTAAAATAATACTTCTGCATACAGTATGTGACACTGTGAGTGTTGCACGGCCAGATACGGCTCAGCTGACTCAGATAAGGAAATATATGATACATTATGATGTGATATGATATGAATGATAATGGGACACATCGACGTCTGCACTCACAGTGCCGCGGACTGTACTTAATGTTACTCTGATCCGGTTACTTATGTCGTGGCAGATATTTAAGTAAGCTTTCTTAACGCTAATATTATAATAGTCAGATTGCTCTGAAGATGGGAGGGGATATTCTATTAATTTTCACGTTCACACAGTCGGTTGATTTTGGCCGGCCGTCTTTCCTGCAACGGCAGTTTTTCTGTATTTCCTCTATCCTGTAATATGACTTGATAGCTTTAAACTCCGCACACGGAGCTCAGTTTGGTCAGCAGGCGGTGCTTTCACTGAGTTGATCTCTTAGCCTGCCACCTAACCTGCTCCGGAGCAGGTTTGCCGCTCAGCATAAGTTACCATGGAAATCTAGCCTGCTAAAAAGAGAACCAGCGTCGTAGGACCGGAAAGCCCGAGATTTCCCTGAAGTTAGCCGGCTAAGCGAAAATCCAGCTTCGTAGTACAGGCCTCAGGTGAACACACCCAGGTAAACACACCCAGGTAAACACACCCAGGTCAACACACCCAGGTGAACACACCCAGGTCAACACACGCACAGGTCAACACACGCACAGGTCAACACACACACAGGTAAACACACACAGGTAAACACGTACAGGTCAAGACACTTGACAACCTTCTTACCCGTGTAAAGTTGTTGTTGTTAAGCCCCGCCTCTTGTGTCTCGTTGCTAGGGTGATGAAGATGGCGTCAAAGTTTTCTGGGCGGGGCCTGTTTTTCTCAGTAGCCAATAAGAAGGACTTCCTGTCTGAGCTGGAGGAGGACTTCGGCCTGGGAACATCTGACGGAGGAGAACTGCCCTTCGTCACGATCCGGACCAAACTGGGCCACAAGTACACCATGAGGGAGGAGTTCACGTATGTAACCAGGCCCAACCAGGCTAAACATGAGAGAGAGGAGTTCACGTACGTAACCAGGCCCAACCAGGCTAAATATTAACCAGGCCCAACCAGGCTAAACATGAGAGAGAGGAGTTCACATACGTAACCAGGCCCAACCAGGCTAAATATTAACCAGGCCCAAACAGGCTAAACATGAGAGAGAGGAGTTCACGTACGTAACCAGGCCCAACCATGCTAAATATTAACCAGGCCCAACCAGGCTAAACATGAGAGAGCGTTCATGTACGTAACCAGGCCCAACCAGGCTAAATATTAACCATGCCCCACCAGGCCCAACCAGGCTAAACATGAGAGAGTAGTTCACATATGTAACCAGGCCCAACCAGGCTAAATATTAACCAGGCCCAACCAGACTAAACATGAGAGAGAGGAGTTCACGTACGTAACCAGGCCCAACCAGGCTAAATATTAACCAGGCCCAACCAGGCTAAACATGAAAGAGGAGTTCACATACGTAACCAGGCCCAACCAGGCTAAATATTAACCAGGCCCAATCAGGCTAAACATGAGAGAGAGGAGTTCACGTATGTAACCAGGCCCAACCAGGCTAAATATTAACCAGGCCCAACCAGGCTAAACATGAGAGAGAGGAGTTCACGTACGTAACCAGGCCCAACCAGGCTGTGTGTGTGTGTGTGTGTGTGTGTGTGTGTGTGTGTGTGTGTGTTGTGTGTTGTGTGTTGTGTGGTGTGTGTGGTGTGTGTGTGTGCTGTGTGTGTGTGTGTGTGTGTGTGTGTGTGTGTGTGTGTGTTGGTGTGTGTGTGTTGGTGTGGTGTGGGTGTGGCTGGTGTGTCGGGTGTGTGTGGGGTTGTGTGTGGGTGCTGTGTGTGTGTGTGTGTGTGTGTGTGTGTGTGTGTGTGTGTGTGTGTGTGTGTGTGTGTGTGTGTGTGTTTCAGGAGGGACGGGCAGTCCTTGGAGAGGTTTCTGAACGATTACTTCGCAGGTCGTTTGAAGCGTTTCATAAAGTCTGAACCGATCCCTGAGAGGAACTCTGCTGCAGTCAAGGTGAGTTTACCTGTCAGCCAATGAGAGGAGAGCCTGGTGATGTCAGCCAATGAGAGGAGAGCTAATACATTTTATTATTAAATAATCCTCAGACGGTGGTGGCGGAGAATTTTGACGATCTGGTCAACAGCCCGGAGAGGGACGTTCTGATCCAGTTCTACTCTCGATCCTGTTCTCACTGTAAGAAGCTGGAGCCGGTGTACACAGAGCTGGCTGAGACGGTACACACACACACACACACAGTACTTACACAGCACACACACACACACACACACATACACACACAGCACACACACACACATAGTACTCACACAGCACTCACACATACACACACACACACACAGTACTTACACAGCACACACATACACACACACATAGTACTCACACATACACACACACACACACACACACACAGTACTCACACACATACAGTACTCACACACACACACACAGTACTCACACACACACATACACACACAGTACTCACACAGCACTCACACGCACGGTACACTGAGGGACGTTTACGTATTAATATAAACATGTCCAACGTTTCTGTTAAAAATGTCATTTTCGAACTATAAAACTTCCCAGAATGCCCCATGTTTTTCTGCTCACCTGCAGCCGGAGGTGTGTTATCATAATGTTTTTGTTTATGTTTACCTGTGTGTTTATGTTTACCTGTGTGTTTATGTTTACCTGCGTGTGGTCAGCTGTCCTCTAATCCCAACATCGTGATCGCCCGGATGAACGCCGGCGACAACGACGTCCCCAACGGATATGACGTGCAGGGGTGAGCTCCTGTTCCACATCAATATATAACAATATATACATGTGAGTGTACTGTGTATATAAACACTATCCCTCTCTCTGCAGGTATCCCACCATCTACCTGGCCCGGGCCGGCAGGAAGGACGAGCCAATCAGATACGAGGTGAACACACACCTGTCACTACACCATGTCAGATATCAATATATAGATAGATCCAACAGGAAGGACTTCTTATGGAATGATAGAGACTCTGTAGAAACCTCTGACCTTAATATGTTAATGAATATGAACGTGTCTTCATCACATGACGCTCTTATCTAATCCTGATTGGATAATTAATAATACATGTGATTGTCTCTCCTCAGGGGGGGCGGGAGCTCAGAGACTTCCTGAAGTTCCTGAAGAGCGAATCGACTCATCGGCTGAGAGTCGGGGGGGCGAAGGTCGAGCTCTGACACGCCTCCATCGTCCAATCAGAAGAGACTACAGCCCATACTCTGACATGCCTCCATCATCCAATCAGAAGAGACTACACCCCGTCTCCATGACAACGGACCGAGAGAGACTTCTAAATTATGTTTTATTTATTTATTGAGATGTGCATGTGAAATGGGGCGTGGTCACTTTGCAGGTTTTTGGGGTTCTTTGGAGGACGTTGAAAGGCATTCTGGGAAACGTAGTGAATGATATTTGAGATTGAAACATGTCTTTTTGTACGCATGAGTCCTTTCATTTGGGTCTTTTCAAAAGAGAAACACCCCCCCCCCCCCATGTCAATTAAATGAGTGATATATTTGATATTTTTTTCATTAGTTCAGTTTTTAAGACTTCATTATTTCAACTTTGACTTTTCTTTTTTATATTTCCTCATTTTTTATTTATTTTTTATTTATTTTTTTTACAGATTTATTCATTGTAATTTAACTTCCTGTCACTACTTCACTGTTAATGATGTTTATTTAATGCTGACCTCTTTATTGATTTCTACAAATCTTTTATTTAAACTTCATGTTTTTGTATTTTGTGAAAAATCTGAGCCTTATTTTAGGAATATTTAATAAAACGGACTGAAATAACCCGGAGTCTGTGTACTGATCTAACTATAGAAACAGGTTGCAGATAATCCTAGTTATATACAGTCAACTGTATACAAACAACAGGTATTAAATATGAACTACTTTCATTTAGAATAACATTATAAACTCACACTAAGAATTACATATTCAATCCTCAATCAAACCCTACTTGATATTAATATTTCATAACCCTATTGTCTCCAACTCAGGACAATATTTCATTATACACAGGTTAAAATAGAGACTACACCCCGTAGGACCGGAAACCCAGAGTTACCCCTGAAGTTACCTCGCGAAAATCCAGCTTCGTAGTACAGGCCTCTGGTCTACACACACACACACACACACACACACACACACTGCAAGAAGCTGGAGCTGGTGTACACAGAGCTGGCTGAGATGGTACACACACACACAGTACTCACACACACACACACATACACACACACACACACGGTACTCACACATACACACACACACACACACACACACACATACTCACACACACACACACACAGTACTCGCACACACACACACACACACACACCAGGACAATATTTCATTATTTCTAACTAAATATAACATCTTATGTGACTTTATATCTCACATCACATCACAACCTGTAATACACCATAATAACATCTGAATGAATGTTTAGTGATGAAATGTCTTCTTGAATAACAGTCACTAATAGAAACAAACATGATAAAGTGAATTCTGCATCATGTAAACTCCAAATGGAGTCCGGTTGGTTCTCACCATAAAAGGCTGAGCCCGTTAACACTTTAACCCTTTCAGCTCATTCACCCGATTGGTGAACGCGCCTGTCAATCACACTGATGCCCTCCGGTGATTGGTCAGAGCTGCGGTTGTTTTCCCGCCCCCGAGCCTTCATCCCTCCTTCTCCTCGTGCCTCCCAGAACCTTCCAGTCTGAAGATCCTGCACGCGCTGTCAAAATGATGGGCCAGCAGGTTTTAGTGCTCAGTAAGTACCGATAAATACTTTAAATATACTTTAACATGTATTCTCTGACGGGGGGGGATGTGTGTGGTGATTATCGGCGAGATGTGTAGCCGGTAACCGGAGAGCTGCCGGGCTGCGACACAAAGAGGAACCGGAGCTAACGGAGCTAATGTGGCTATATGCTAAATCCTAATCGGGTTAACATCACTGAGCTAACCGGCTAACAGCTAACCATGTGGCTAACTGCTAACTGTTAGCATCACGGAGCAGCAAATCCCATATATACAGAACATCGGGTCTGTTATATGTTAGCGAAGTCACTGTGAGAGTTTATAAATGCAGTAAAAAGTACAATATTTGCCTTTTGAAATGTATTTGAGTGGAAGAATAGAGAAGCCGTTAAATAAATACAAATATTAAATTACAAATATATTAAAAAAAGTAGTTTAAATACAATACTTGACTACGCTCCGTTACTTTCCATCACTGTCCTTATTCTGAGATGGTTTAATACGTTATTAAGTATGTATTTATTCCGTCTTTGTCTATAATCAGTTGGATATTAAATGACTCTTTGGATGTTTTTGAAACTGTTTTTAAAAAGGCGACACTTTATTCACCATAAAACAGATGGTTGGCGCTAGCAGCTAGCCCCTGACAGTGCTAACAACCTGCTTTAATGTGACTGTTATTCAGACACTATCTGTTTAATATACACACTGTATGTGCAAGATGTGTAACAGAGCTGTGCAGTAAACACACTTCATATCCCGGGTGATATTCACTGTTCTCCGGTGTCTTTGTTAGCCGGATAAACGCGCAGTCATCCAGCATCATGCTAAGCTAACACTTTAGCATCCTCAGGTAGCCTCATTGCGTGTAAATGTTTTTATTTTTTAATAATTGAATAGCTTTAGATGAGCAGTGTTTTCAGATGTGTTTACAAAGAGTCTGAGAGGAGAGCTAACAGAGCTAATGCTAACACAATGTGCTGCAGTCAGCCACACCCTCACTGAGAAACCATCCCATAATATATATGAATGAGCTGCTGTCATGGTGCTAACAGGCTGGCTATGGGAAGTATAAAGTCTGTTATTAGTAGTTAAAATGTGAATTAAACAGTATCATTGTTAGTATATTATTTTATTGTTAAACAGATGTTGGTTATAGTTTAAATGTAAGCTTTTAACAAGCATCACTTCCAACACTTTTATTAAACATCTTTCTTTCACTTTTTAGCATTTATACAACTGCTTCACACATTTTTTAGAGCTAACACTGATCTATTACATATTTAATCAATGAACCAGAGGAGGTCAATGTCTGACCATATGACTCGTTTATCAATAGAGAACCAGAATCCCTTCCCTCGTCCCACAGAAGGGGAATGTACCGTGTTACAGCAGAAAGAGCCACAGACAGCTTCATGTTACCTAGCATGCATACAAAGTATTAAAGATACTAAAATGATAATGAAAGAAAAGGGGGTGTTTCTAGAGAGATATAGTATGAGGTAATACTGCTTATCTTGTGTATATAAGGTATATAAATTATGCGGACGTAAACAACGTGACATCAGAGCTCAGTGAAAACAAAGCTGTCTCTGCGTCTGACGCTCCGTTTGAGACTCAGATTTCTGGAGGAATCATACCGTTTTTGAGGAACAGAAATATTGTTTTCTGGCATCACTTTAACATTTTACTGGGAAAATCTGCATTTTGGTTTGAGGGTGCACGCCGAGTGAGAGGGCGCAGAGACCCTGAACAGAGTGAGAGGGCGCAGAGACCCTGAACAGAGTGAGAGGGCGCAGAGACCCTGAACAGAGTGAGAGGGCGCAGAGACCCTGAACAGAGTGAGAGGGCGCAGAGACCCTGAACAGAGTGAGAGGGCGCAGAGACCCTGAACAGAGTGAGAGGGCGCAGAGACCCTGAACAGAGTGAGAGGGCGCAGAGACCCTGAACAGAGTGAGAGGGCGCACGCCGAGTGAGAGGGCGCAGAGACCCTGAACGGAGTGAGAGGGCGCAGAGACCCTGAACGGAGTGAGAGGGCGCAGAGACCCTGAACGGAGTGAACACGAGTGCAGCTCAGAGGGTATGGATTATTTCTGTCGCTAGCTTTCTGAGTTCTTCAGTAAATGACTAGAGATATTAAAATGTCCTGAGGACAGACTACAGCTCACACACTGAGTCTGTTCTGAACTACAGAGGGAATACATGTTAGAATCAATGATTTCTTTCAAGTTTTTTATTATAGTACATTTAGCATTTAAATAAGTTCCCTTAATCTAGTTTCTGAATGCTGTGGTGTGATTAGATCATTGTTAGTATTTAATAACCAACAGCAGTGTTGTCTCAGCTGGAGCAGCGGTGCTCAGTTTGAGACGCCCTATAGCCACGATGTGTGCCATGGGTTAATGAGAGCTTCATGCACCTCCTGGGTCCCATGTCTTTGCTCTGGACAGACGTCACGACTCTTACCTTCTGTATTAATAAATGTTTTCTCTTCCTCACAGACCAGAACATGAAGAGGGAGTCGGGCCGTAAGGTCCAGACGGGGAACATCGGCGCCGCCAAGGTCCGTGTTTCTGCATCGTATCAAAGCTCAGACTGCATGCTCTTACTTTGAAATTCTGTCCGGATGTTACACACTGCTGAGTCATATAGATTATAATAGTTATATTAAGAGTTCCCAATATTCATTAAATGTTTGGTATTTAATCACAAATAAGAGTCCCTGCAGACTGAACCGAGGAACTCGCTGATGTGTGTTCAGATGTTTCTTTAATGTGTGTATAATGAAGTCTTTAATCGATTGCTGATTGTTTTATTTTAAACTGATGGTTTTAAATGTGCTGTATAAATAAATGTGACTTGTGTGTTTCAGGCGATCGCTGATGTGATCCGGACTTGCCTCGGCCCGCGGGCCATGATGAAGGTCAGCCTGCAGAACACACACTTCAATATGACCCAGTCTAAACTGCACACACACACCAATATGACCCAGTCTAAACTACACACGCACACACACTTCAATATGACCCAGTCTAAACTACACACACTTCAATATGACCCAGTCTAAACTACACACACACTTCAATATGACCCAGTCTAAACTGCACACACACTTCAATATGACCCAGTCTAAACTACACACACACTTCAATATGACCCAGTCTAAACTGCACACACACACACTTCAATATGACCCAGTCTAAACTACACACACTTCAATATGACCCAGTCTAAACTGCGCACACACACACACTTCAATATGACCCAGTCTAAACTACACACACTTCAATATGACCCAGTCTAAACTGCACGCACACACACACACTTCAATATGACCCAGTCTAAACTACACACACTTCAATATGACCAGTCTAAACTGCACACACACACTTCAATATGACCCAGTCTAAACTGCACACACAATTCAATATGACCCAGTCTAAACTGCACACACACACTTCAATATGACCAGTCTAAACTACACACACACACTCTCCGGTCTGTCTCCAGTCGCTCACATCTTCTCTGTTTTATAATAAAGTGATCTCTTTAGAGTCTAAACTCATCCTCTGGGACTCTCAACATATTTACAGACTTTTAAATGCAAAGCCATAATACAGAGATTCATATTTAGAAAAGTATTTAAATGAATGAACTGTTCAGCAGGATTTATATTGAATTCCTTGTTTTTATTGTGTGTAGATGCTGCTCGACCCCATGGGGGGCATCGTGATGACCAACGATGGAAACGCCATCCTGAGAGAGGTGAGCCCGAACACACTCAACTTTATTAACACGTGACAGACAGACCATAATAATCACCAGTCTGTGTTTAACGTGGACCTGCTGTCAGGAGCAGCTGTGCATTGGAGCGGGTGCACTTTAAAACATTAAAGCATGTCTTTAAGTTGAGTATTATGGGATGTAACCAAGGCTCTCTCTGTCTCCATGGTAACAGATCCAGGTTCAGCACCCTGCGGCCAAGTCCATGATCGAGATCAGCCGCACTCAGGACGAGGAGGTGGGCGACGGCACCACGTCCGTCATCATCCTGGGTCCGTATTATTATTATTAATATACAGAGCAGCAGGGTTTCTGCGGGTCCCTGAAGGCACCATCTCCCTGGTCATACTGCTGAGTCATGTTCAGGACTCTTATTGATATTCCGGTGTGTGTGTGTGTGTGTGTGTGCAGCGGGGGAGATGCTGTCGGTGGCAGAGCAGTTCCTGGAGCAGCAGATGCACCCCACGGTGGTGATCAGCGCCTACAGACAGGCTCTGGACGACATCCTGGAGGCGCTGAAGGAGATCAGGTACAGCAGCCCGCTCTTATTCTGAAAGGGCAGCACGCTCTTACTCTGAAAGGGCAGCAGGAAGTGGTGATGGGGACAACATGGGACATTAATGTGTATCAACAAGACCAGTTTTTTTTATGCTATTTTATTTCTGTTTGAGATGTTTACATTTAGTCTTTTAGTTTCTCTAATGCCAAAGAAATCACACATTTTACAAGAACTTTACTGCTTTTGTAATGTGTCTTATTTCTATTGAGAGGTTTACATGGTGTGGTGTAGTGATGTCTGTAATGCCCCCCCCAGCACCCCGGTGGACACGTCCGACCGCTCCATGATGCTGAAGATCGTGCACTCTGCCATCAACACCAAGGCTCTGAGCCGCTGGTCAGAGATGGCGTGCGGCATCGCGCTGGACGCCGTGCGCACCGTGGAGCTGGAGGACAACGGGCGCAAAGAGATCGACATCAAGAAGTACGCCAAGGTGGAGAAGGTCCCCGGAGGATTCATCGAGGACTCGTGCGTGCTGCGCGGCGTCATGGTGAACAAAGACGTGACTCACCCTCGTATGAGACGCCTGATCAAAGAGCCCCGCATCATCCTGCTGGACTGCTCTCTGGAGTACAAGAAGGGGGAGAGCCAGGTACACACACACACACACCTACTCACTCCATTAATTTATTTTCTTATTTCTCTAAATGACCACATTTCAAATAATTGAACCAGAGATGCTGATCATTCTCTATTTATGTTTAAATGTAATCACGTGAAGGTGTAAGTAAGTGCTTTTATTTATTTGTATTGTGTGTGTGTGTGCAGACGGACATAGAGATCAGTAAGGAGGAGGACTTCGCCCGGATCCTGCAGATGGAGGAGGAATACATCCAGCACATCTGTGAGGACATCATCCGCCTGAAGCCAGACCTGCTGTTCACCGAGAAGGGCATCTCAGGTACTCGCACACACAGTCACACACAAACACACTGACACACACAGTCACACACACACACACACTGTCACACACACACAAACACACACACAGTCACACACTGTCTCACACAGTCACACACACACTGACACACTTATGGCGCATTTCCACTACACGGCCTCGCTAGGTCTCGTTAGGACTGGCTCACTTTATGGCGCATTTCCATTACAGTTTAGGAACTGGGGTAGTATCTATAGTAACGCAGTGTAGGCGGAGCCGTGACGTCATCTTCAATGAGAACTCCAGAAAAACAACACAGCCGTTAGCTGTTAGCACTCAGAGCTCACAGCTCCTCATATATGTTCAGAAACTAGACAAAAGTTAAACAAGTACAAACCACAGACTGCCTGTGTCATGGTGAATACAGTCGCTGCTTTATTTATGTCTGTATAGGCCGTTGTTGTGAGTGTGGACGGTCGGAGCATATACTGCGTTAGCTTAGCCAATCTCCATTTAGAAAACACGCATTTTAAAAGGTGTTTCGCCTGCCGTCTGTCTGCAGACTGGTCAAAGCATTAATTCATGGTTTTTACTAACCGGTATCAGTATGTTGTTACTTCGGCATCATTTTGAAACGTGTATTACAATTAAATCACTGTCAAATATGTCCATCTTGTTGTAGTTGTAGCCCCCTTGCCAGCGATGCTCTCTCTAGTTTAGCATAGCCCGACTCAGCCTGGTTGTTCCTGGCCCTAGAACCACGATTTTATGGGGCCAGAAAAACTGTGAATTAGGACCCGCCGGCCGGTACTAGGCCAAGTGGAAACGCAACCAAAAACGGGCCGCTGACGTCACAGCTCTCTTAAAACAGGGCTCCGCGCTGTAGTGGAAAGGCGCCAACACTTACTCACACTCCTACACACACTCACTCTCACACACACTATGTTTATATATTTACACAGTCTGTCTGTAAAGGGAGGTAGGGGCTCTTATTGTGAAATCCACAGGAAGTGCAGTAGAGAACATAGGAGTTGTGGATGAGATAGATTCAACATGTTCCTCTCCTCAGATCTGGCTCAGCACTACCTGATGAAGGCCAACATCACCGCCATCCGCCGTGTGAGGAAGACCGACAACAACCGCATCGCCAGGTAACTTCAGCCAACGTGTTCTCCTCTCAGGGCGTGTGGTTGTTAGCATGTTATTGACGTGTTCTCCTCTCAGGGCATGTGGCTGTTGGCGTGTTATTAACGTGTTCTCAGGGCGTGTGGTTGTTAGCGTGTTCTCCTCTCTCCGGGTGTTTGGCTGTTAGCATGTTATTAACGTGTTCTCTCTCAGGACATGTGGTTGTTAGCGTGTTATTAACGTGTTCTCCTCTCAGTGCGTTTAGCTGTTAGCGTGTTATTAACGTGTTCTCCTTTCTCAGGGCGTGTGGTTGTTAGCATGTTATTGACGTGTTCTCCTCTCTCAGGGCGTGTGGTTGTTGGCGTGTTATTGACGTGTTCTCCTCTCAGGGCATGTGGCTGTTGGCGTGTTATTAACGTGTTCTCTCAGGGCGTGTGGTTGTTAGCGTGTTATTAGCGTGTTCTCCTCAGTGCGTTTAGCTGTTAGCGTGTTATTAACGTGTTCTCCTTTCTCAGGGCGTGTGGTTGTTGGCGTGTTAACGTGTTCTCTCAGGGCGTGTGGTTGTTAGCGTGTTCTCCTCTCAGTGCGTTTAGCTGTTAACGTGTTCTCCTTTCTCAGGGCGTGTGGTTGTTGGCGTGTTATTGACGTGTTCTCCTTTCTCATGGCGTGTGGTTGTTGGCGTGTTAACGTGTTCTCTCAGGGCGTGTGGTTGTTAGCGTGTTCTCCTCTCAGTGCGTTAGCTGTTAACGTGTTCTCCTTTCTCAGGGCGTGTGGTTGTTGGCGTGTTATTGACGTGTTCTCCTTTCTCAGGGCGTGTGGTTGTTGGCGTGTTAACGTGTTCTCTCAGGGCGTGTGGTTGTTAGCGTGTTCTCCTCTCAGTGCGTTTAGCTGTTAACGTGTTCTCCTTTCTCAGGGCGTGTGGTTGTTGGCGTGTTATTGACGTGTTCTCCTTTCTCAGGGCGTGTGGTTGTTGGCGTGTTAACGTGTTCTCTCAGGGCGTGTGGTTGTTAGCGTGTTCTCCTCTCAGTGCGTTTAGCTGTTAACGTGTTCTCCTTTCTCAGGGCGTGTGGTTGTTGGCGTGTTATTGACGTGTTCTCCTTTCTCAGGGCGTGTGGTTGTTGGCGTGTTATTAACGTGTTCTCTCAGGGCGTGTGGTTATTAGCGTGTTCTCCTCTCAGTGCGTTTAGCTGTTAGCGTGTTATTAACGTGTTCTCCTTTCTCAGGGCGTGTGGCTGTTGGCGTGTTATTAACGTGTTCTCTCAGGGCGTGTGGTTGTTAGCGTGTTATTAACGTGTTCTCTCTCAGGGCGTTTGGCTGTTCGCTTGTTATTAACGTGTTCTCCTCTCAGGGCGTGTGGTTGTTAGCGTGTTATTAACGTGTTCTCCTCAGGGCGTGTGGTTGTTAGCGTGTTATTAACGTGTTCTCCTCTCAGGGCGTTTGGCTGTTCGCTTGTTATTAACGTGTTCTCCTCTCTCAGGGCGTGTGGCGCTCGTATCGCTAACCGCACTGACGAGCTGCGTGAGGAGGACATCGGTACCGGAGCCGGTCTGTTTGAGGTGAAGAAGATCGGAGACGAGTACTTCACCTTCGTCACCGAGTGCAAAGATCCTAAAGCCTGCACCATCCTGCTGAGAGGGGCCAGCAAGGAGATCCTGGCGGTGAGAACCTCCTAGAGAACCTGTTGTGTGATTAGAGACTGTATCTGATGAGGAACCTTTGTGTATCTGATGAGGAACCTGTGCGTTTAGGAGGTGGAGAGGAACCTGCAGGACGCCATGCAGGTGTGCCGTAACGTTCTGTTAGAACCCGCCCTGCTGCCTGGAGGCGGCGCGGTGGAGATGGCCGTCTCAAAGCGTCTGATGGAGCGCTCTCGCTCTCTCACAGGCGTGGATCAGTGGCCCTACAGAGCCGTGGCCCACGCCCTGGAGGTCATCCCTAGAACCCTCATCCAGAACTGTGGAGCCTCCACCATCCGGGTGCTCACCTCTCTCAGGGTAAACAACTTCACTAACAACAGCTTCACTAACAAAAGCTTCATTAACAGCATTTACAGTTGTGTGTGTAGTAGGGGTGTAACGGTATGTACCGGACGAATATAAAGTTTGAGAACGTGAACAACTTTTTGGAAGTAATCTCAGGTGCTGCGCTGTGTAATTTGCTCACGTTGGGTTCAACGCGTCAGAGAGCGACCAAGTCATTTCATTGGACGAGAGGCATACTATGAGAGCTGGTCACAGGGATGCGTTCAAATGTAGTCAGTAATTTGAGGAACTGTCGAAATATCGAACGCAGATAAAGTTGAGCTCGAAAATCCTCCAGCATCATTGAAGTCTCCGGTTTGGGAACATTTTGGTTTCGCAGTTACGTACAAGGATGACGGACAAAGACAGGTGGACCGAACCAAAGCTGTTTTGTCGGCATTGTTCAACTAAAATTGGTTACACGGCTGGCAATACATCAAACTTGCACACTCATTTGAAAAGGCATCACCCGAACGTGAATATCACCGGTACCAAAATAAAAATGACTGAAGTGCAAACCCAACTCCGACTAGCATTTAAGCCTCCACCACTCGCAAAAAGTTCAGACCGAGCCAAAGCTATTACAAACGCCAAATATCCTTATGTTGCCATGTTAGCAAAGCGCTACCTGGCTGTATCTGCTACCTGTGTCCCTAGAGAGAGGGTGTTCTCCACATCAGGAGACATTGTTAGTGCCTTTCGGTAAGCAATGTGGACAAGTTCATCTTTCTTAAAGAAAACATGAAAATACAATGAGAAGCCTAATGTCAAGCTGGCTGCTTAGGTACTAGTACAGATTATTTCAGTTTATCAAAAATGCTGCACCTTAATGTTTATTTTATTATGTTTTGTATTTATTTGAGTGAATATTCAGTTTATTAATAATTAAAAAATATATATATATTTTGTTTTGTGATCACTTTTTCTGCTGTACCGAAATGTTTGAACAGTTACACCCCTAGTGTGTAGTGTATTAATGAGGTTGTGTTGTTGCAGGCGAAGCACACCCAGCCGGACAGTGTGAACTGGGGCGTGGACGGAGAGACCGGCTGCATCTCTGATATGATGGAGCTGGGGATCTGGGAGCCGCTGGCTGTCAAAGCTCAGGTCTACAAGACCGCTGTGGAGGTGAGGCTCTTTGTACATTAATATCACCTGGGTTAGGTTATCATCACCTGTATGTCCAGCAGTGACTCACCTGTCTCTCTCTCTCTCTACCTGTCTCTCTCTCTCTACCTCTCTCTCTGCAGACGGCCATCTTGCTGCTGCGTATCGATGACATCGTCTCCGGTCACAAGAAGAAGGACAAAGACGGTCAGACGGGAGGACAGGGAGCGGAGTAGATCATCATCTGTTACTGAGAGTCTGTGTGTGAATGTGTATGTGTGTGTGGGGACCAGATGACTCACTGAAACTAAAATAAACCGTCAATAAAAGTGAAAGTTAGAAACCTGTTTGTGAAGTTTGTTCTGATTATTGACAGATCAACGCTCATTAACTGTAAGAAATAAACCCTTTTTCACATCACACCACCCGGCTGTTCTGTTTCAACTGTTATTTCATGCCATGCGAAAAAGTACTCTTGAGTTAAAGTATTAATACCTCAGATGTTACTGACTAGAACACAATCTACAGGAAGTAGAGTCAGTCAGCGTTGTGTCGCGACGCTGCGTCCCTCGGAGCTGCAGCTCTCCGTCGCTTCAGGATCAGTGACGTCACCAATTAGAAAGTCTGACGTCTTCCTGTCAGAAACACCTTTCAATGAATAAAGATGATCTCAAGGTTTACTCTTGATCCCAATTTGGGAAATGTCTGAGTTGCTAACGAGGCATAAGAGTAGAAATAAACAACTCTAAAATGTAAACGTCTCCAACAAATAAATCTCAAATTGGGATCAATAAATAAATCATTATACATGTTTACAGTAAAACAGATCAGAGTTATATAATCTCTGAAACCTGAATATTATCGAAGTTATTTTAAAGATCTGGGATCTATATTTATTTTAATATTGATCTGTTATTTATATTCATGAATGTATTTAATTGTTTTATCAACTAGTCATCTTTGTTGTTCATGTTGTCAACGCGTTTACTGTTAATAAAGTTTCTTCCTCGGGAGTCAGCTGATTGATGACGCGGCGATCATGTGACACACGCGCTCGGTCACAACAAAGATGGCGGCGGTGAGGAGCTGCGGAGCGTTTGCTTTTTATTTATTTGTCCTGCTTTTAGTTTCGAGTGAAATTCAAAGTGTTTTCAGAGGAGACTCTTTCAGGAGGAAGGTGAGTACTGACTCTTCATCAACTGTATATCAATAACCCGTTAACACTCGGAGCCAGAGACTGGAAGTGAAACTGCTCTCTTAGGGCTATTCAATTGGCGGCCCGCGGGCCAAATCCGGCCCCGGGGTGATATTTACTGGCCCTTTGAGTATAATGTTAAAAAGTAATCAATATTTTTTTTAAAGATTTTTTTTCTTTTTGTGCCATAGTGCCTTTATTCCAAAGAGGGTGTTACATTGAGAGATAGAGGAGTAGACAATGCCTGAAAACTTCGACGGGCTCGGGTTTCGAACCCACCTACTATACTGTAGTGACAACTCCTGTCATTGATTGCATCTCTGCGTGAATGATTAGATCATTTCACCTAAATGAAATCAAATGAAACATGTAGGCCTACTGAGTTCTGAACTTGCCATTTAGATCTATAAAGGCCTTGGGGCTATGTTGTTTGATTGAATTAAACACAATATATGCACTCCACTATGCTGTTGTCGTATTTACTGTATCTGAAGCTCTTAAATATGATTGCTCATATTTCAAGCCATCTTTTTCCCGGCCCCTTGCTTTGGATAATTTTCATCAACCGGCCCCCATTCCAAACTAATTGAATAGCCCTGTAACAACAATCTGAGTACATGTCTTTAGAGAAGTTTCCTGTAACTTCAATCAGGAGCGTTTTCATCGCGTCTCATTTCATTCTACTTCATATGTTGTGTGAATCTACAAAAATAAACGACAAAATTCTGACATTTTCAGAATAAAGTCACATTTTGAGATTTTCAGAATAAAGTCTACATTTTGAGATTTTCAGAATAAATCTGATGTTCAGAATAAAGTCTACATTTTCAGAATAAAGTCAAAATTCTGAGATTTTAGAAAAAAAGTCTACATTTTGAGATTTTCAGAATAAAGTCTACATTTTGGGATTTTCAGAATAAAGTATACATTTTGAGATTTTCAGAATAAAGTCTCCATTTTGAGATTTTCAGAATAAAGTCTTCATTTTTAGATTTTAGAAAAAAGTCAAAATTCTGATATTTTCAGAATAAAGTCTAAATGTTGCGATTTTCAGAATAAAGTCAACATTTTGAGATTTTCAGAATAAAGTCAACTTTTTGAGATTTTCAGAAATAAAGTCTAAATGTTGCGATTTTCAGAATAAAGTCAGAGTGAAATGTAAAGCCAGTTAAAGAGGTTCTTCTTCTCTCCTGCAGCTGTCGGTGGAGCTGAACCCCGGCCGGCCCGCCCCCCCGCCTCCTGGTGGCGACCTGCTGCATGTGAGAGCCGTGGGACTCAACGACACGCTGCACTTCCTGTTCTGCAGCCAGGGGGCGCCAACGCTGCTGCTCGTCCACACCAACTCTTCTTCTTCTACTGTGGAGGTCTATATACTTATATATATATACGCTCTTTAACCCTCGGAGGACTACAGACACTCTGAAGCTGCTTCTGATTGGTTGACAGCTCACAGGTGTTTTTATGTTTTTCAGGTCGACTGGCCTCAGTTTTTGATGCGAAATGTCAGCGGCAGCCTGAGGGTGGAGCCAGAGAGCAGCATCCTGCAGAGCAACGCCATCGTGTTCAGCAGAGTCAGTCCACCTTAAATCTACTATCAGTCCACCTTAAATTTGCTATCAGTCAGTCCGTCTTAAATCTGAATTTAGAATATATGATGTTAAGGCTTTTATTGTGAAACCCTGACTTCCTGTCGTGCAGCTGTTGGAGTACGATGATGTGAACGACACGGCCAACGCGAACTCTGACCTCTTCCCGCCCTACGACCTTCAGGACTTCACCTGGGCGCCTCTCAACCTGTCGGGAGATAGCGCTTTGCTCTGTGGCGCCGCCGCGACCTTCGCTAACGGCTCGCTGTGCCTGAAGGTCAGAGGTCACACTGTCGTCACGGCAACACCTTTAGGTTAATGTTGTGAAAACACTGAATGTCCTCTTCCAACATGAGAGTAACATGATACCAAAGGCATCCCAACTGTAGCTGTGTACATGACAGGATGTATGATTACCTAGAAGAGCATCAGGACTGTTTGAGGCATATGATAGCTATGTGATTAACATGATGATTCAGCCTCTATGGAGATAGACATATGACAAGCATGATCATTTCTGACGTGGAGCTAATCTGAAGTAAACATTGAATACTGCTTTCTATTCCTCCATCTTGTGACTGTGTAACTCCCTCTCTTGGATATCAGCATGTGAAGGACACTGTTCAGGAACTAGTTGATGCTCTGTATGTGATGACTACTTCCATTCTGGAGAGGATCAGAGATACATGGATCCTGAGATTGAAGCTCAAGCCGGGGACCAGGGAGATTTAGAGAAGAGTTAATATGCAAACAATAATTACATAAATAAACACATTTATTTTGTTGTTCCCCAGCTGACGGTGTTTGACTCTGAGGGGCGGGACCAGATATTGCCCCGCCTCCTCCACTCCGCTAACTCCTCCCAGCTGGAGGTGTGGCTCGATGGCTTGTTGCCGCGGGCGTCGCGTTCCCGCTTCCTATTGGAGCTCCAGGCGGTGGGTGGGGCTTATCCTCTGAGCCGGGTGGAGGTCTGCCGATCGATCGATGACGAGTTCACGCCGACAATATTCAAGGTGATTAATCATCAGTATTCAAGATTAATCATCAGTATTCAAGTTGATTAATCATCAGTATTCAAGTTGATTAATCATCAGTATTCAAGTTGATTAATCATCAGTATTCAAGGTGATTAGTCATCATCAATCAGTGTTCAGTGTTTTATCGAGTATTAACAACCTCTGAAATGTCAGATATATATATAAATGTATTGATTAGGATAAACCTTGAGATGCACCGTCTGGTTTTCAAGGGGGTCGACAACAGCAACGTGTTACAGACATGAACAAAATAACAGAAAGCAAAGCATGACAAACCACGTACAGTCTATTCAGTTAAATTCATGAAGTAATACAATCATTACAGTCTGATAGATCAGTTTGATCAATAACAAGAGCAGCTGAAAGTGAGATGATCATGCTGAAACACACCCAGTGATGATCTATAGCAGCAGACAGAGGGACAGAGTGTCACCTGATCATGTGACCAGTAAGCTACAAATTGACCAATCAGGATGGAGTATTCTACTAAGGCAGTGTAATAGTAATTAATATTCACAGTGATTGATTAACACTAAATGTGTGTATTTCCTCAGGTTCTCCAGTGGCTGCCCCCCCTCAACAGAACCTCCCATGGTTCTGGGTTCCTCCAGTGGAAGCCGGTCTCGTACCACCGGTCCTCCCCCTCGGTGGAGGAGGGTTCTCCGATGCGGTCCTCCCCCCCCCCGCCCTCAGAGAGGCGAGGAGGCGTTCTCCGCTCTGATCACAGCGTTCTACGCAGAACCAGAAACCTTCGGGATCAACGTCAGCTTCGGCATCTCCGGAGAACCGTTCTACAACAGATCTCGGTTCCTCAGCTGGTAGGGTTCCTCTCTCCTTTATTCTCTCCTCCTCTCTCCTTCACGTGTTTCCTCTCTCCTTGACGTGTCTCCTCTCTCCTTTTCCTCACTCCCTCACGTGTTTCCTCTCTCCTTGACGTTTCTCCTCTCTTCTTCGTTGGTTTCAGGACGGTGTTACTGGGTGTTGGGACGCCCCCCATGGACTCCTTCTCCTCTCTCCTTCACGTGTCTTCTCTCTCCTTCACGTGTTTCCTCTCTCCTTGACGTGTCCTCTCTACTTTCAGGACGGTGTTACTGGGTGTTGGGACGCCCCCCCATGGACTCCTTCTCCTCTCTCCCTAACGTGTCTCCTCTCTCCTTCACGTGTCTCATCTCTCCCTAACTAGTCTCCTCTCTCCTTTCAGGACGGTGTTACTGGGTGTTGGGACGCCCCCCATGGACTCCTTCTCCCCGGTGGTCCTCATCATGATGGCGGTGGGTTTAGGAACTCCCATGATGCTCCTGGTTCTGGGCGGAGTCTGCATCTGCATCAGGAAGGGGGCGTCGGCCTCGAACTACGAGCCAATCAACTGAGGGCTGGGGCTCAGCCAATGAGACGACAGAGACATTTTTTAAATATTAACGCGGGATGACCGACAGCCAATCAGGAGCCAGGGTGCTCACTTGTCAGTGTTAAACAGAAGATAATTATCCCACCTTTTATAAGAGTTTTATAATGAATTGTACCTGGAGGGGGGGGGGGGGGGATGTCTTCTGTAAATGTGAAGCAGCTTCTCTTGAATCTGATCAGACGTTTCAGATTCAACACTTTGAGTTTTATTTTATTTTATTTAAAGTTCCTGTTATTTTATAATCTCTTGATGATGGAAAGTTTGTCTTCAATAAAAATCTTTGTTGAAAATCTCTCACACATTACTTGAGTTTAACCCGTGGAGCGCAGAGAGATCGCCTGATGGATCGCCTATCGCCTGATGGATCGCCTGATGGATCGCCTGATGCATTTAAAATAATTTAACTCCTGAATATTTTAACACAAAACAATAAAATAATTGTTATTGATCATGTTATTGATCAAGATCTAGCCATTTATGAAATAACTTTCTTAATAGCTATGTTTTAGTGACGTTCAAGATCATTAAACATGACTTAAAGGGGACCTATCATGCAAAATGTACTTTTGTACGTCTTTTATACATGGATATGTGTCCCCGGTGTTCCAGGGAACTCACCAAGTGTCAGAAAACACAACCCTCTCTATTTTCCTCCATACCCAAATCTCTAAAAAAGGGGCTGCAACGGATCTGATAAAAACTGATCCAGATTTGAACACTGTCCTGACGTCAGACACACACACACACACACACTTGACCTTGGAGTTGGACGTGGAGTCGATGATAACTGCGACGTCTGTTATGGATTTTTGTTTTTTTACTGAAATACTAGTACACACATTTGAAGTACTTTGCCTGAGTGTTTAAACTTCTTTTGGAAGTCAGTATTGTACTTTTTATAATCATGAGTACTTTTACTTTTAGTACTTTAAGTATATTTTCATGACATGCTTTTTTGTATTTAAAGGGGACCTATCATGCAAAATGCACTTTTGTACGTCTTTTATACATGAATATGTGTCCCCGGTGTTCCAGGGAACTCACCAAGTGTCAGAAAACACAACCCTCTCTATTTTCCTCCATACCCAAATCTCTAAAAAAGGGGCTGCAACGGATCTGATAAAAACTGATCCAGATTTGAACACTGTCCTGACGTCAGGACGGTGGCGCTACGGCTATTGGGCCAACTCTCCACCTATCAGGGGAATGTGGGGTTGGGCCACGGCCGGCCATTGCTGCTCGAAAGCGCTGGAGACGCTGTAGTACATATGCCAGGCCTGTAAGTGGCGCTGTAGTCTGCCACAAAAGCAGCGAAGAAGACTTCCCGCGCATGGTTGCCATGGTTACCCTTCTGTTTATTCTCCGCTGTGGCTTTTTTTCTCCCTCCCCTCTTCTAAGGAACGAGGGGACCGTGCGGCAGAGTTTCAGTTTTCTTTCGCCGGTCAAGATGTCCGTTAAAGTTTAAATCTTCCGGACAAAATGATAAAAGTGCCGGTCAAAGGTCTTCTTTGTTATTTATTGAGTTTTAAAACAAATGAATAACGACTCTATATAATAAAACACGGAGGACGGAGATCTCTTTTTCTCCCCCTCTTCTGACAGCCCAGCAGCTGATCAGAGCACGCTCCTCTCCTGCAGGAGGAGTGTCAGCTGATCAGGGCGATGAGGTCGACCAATCAGCTGAAGAGAAAATACAATACAATTTTTTTGACAGAGTTTTTTATTTAGATCATTATATTTAGAGATTACATCATATTCACAGGCTCTGATTGGTCCATCTGTTGATATCAAAGAGACTATTCAACAGTTTGACCTCCATAATGTTCTTAATAACTCACTTTAATGTCCTGGCAGTTTTAGTGTCTAAGAACTAAAGTCTGAACACACGTTAACATTTAGTGCTCACAGGAAACAGAGAAACACAGAGTTTCTGACGGTCATTGAACGCCTCATCGCTCGTTCTGTCTCCAGATTCTTTTTCAATAAAGTTTTCACAGCTTCTGCAGTCCTCTATATGTCTCCTCTCTCCTTCTCGTGTCTCCTCCAGGTGTCTCCTGTCTCCTCCAGGTGTCTCCTCTCTCCTTCTTGTGTCTCCTGTCTCCTCCAGGTGTCTCCTCTCTCCTTCTCGTGTCTCCTCCAGGTGTCTCCTTTCTCCTACAGGTGTATCCTCTCTCCTTCTTGTGTCTCCTCTCTCCTCCAGGTGTCTCCTCTCTCCTTCTTGTGTCTCCTCTCTCCTCCAGGTGTCTCCTCTCTCCTCCAGGTGTCTCCTCCCCCCCAGGTGTCTCCTCTCTAGATGCTCTCTATCTGCCTCCTCACCTTCTCTGAGGCGAGGCGGTCCAGTAGCCTCTGCCTCAGGACCACCACCACCGAGGAGGAGAGGGTGAGGACCAGCATGGAGGCCTCGAACCTCCAGAAGAGCCGCTCCTCCAGGAGGGACGAGCGGCAGCTGGGGGGGATCAATATATATATATATATATATATTAATACACATCTAATTAGGTACATTGAAGTTACAGCAGTCACATGAACATCGTGTTGTTGGTGGTGAGTGATCTGTCGCCATGGCAACGGCTTATGAGGAAACCCCTTAATAGAGAGGCGAAGCCCCTCCCTTTCCTCCATGGGACCTTAGAGAGAGGCTGTGTTCTGTGTGTTCTGTGTGTTCTGTGTGTTCTGTGTGTTCTGTGTGTTCTCTCTGTTCTGTGTGTTCTGTGTGTTCTCTCTGTTCTGTGTGTTCTCTCTGTTCTGTGTGTTCTCTCTGTTCTGTGTGTTCTCTCTGTTCTGTGTGTTCTGTGTGTTCTCTGTGTTCTGTGTGTTCTGTGTGTTCTCTCTGTTCTCTCTGTTCTGTGTGTTCTGTGTGTTCTGTGTGTTCTCTCTGTTCTGTGTTCTCTCTGTGTGTTCTCTCTGTTCTGTGTGTTCTCTCTGTTCTGTGTGTTCTGTGTGTTCTCTCTGTTCTGTGTGTTCTGTGTGTTCTCTCTGTTCTGTGTGTTCTCTCTGTTCTGTGTGTTCTGTGTGTTCTCTCTGTTCTCTGTGTTCTCTGTGTTCTCTGTGTTCTCTGTGTTCTCTCTGTGTTCTCTCTGTGTTCTCTCTGTGTTCTCTCTGTGTTCTCTCTGTGTTCTCTCTGTGTTCTCTGTGTTCTCTGTGTTCTCTCTGTGTTCTCTCTGTGTTCTCTATGTTCTCTCTGTGTTCTCTGTGTTCTCTCTGTGTTCTCTCTGTGTTCTCTCTGTGTTCTCTCTGTGTTCTCTCTGTGTTCTCTCTGTGTTCTCTGTGTTCTCTCTGTGTTCTCTGTGTTCTCTCTGTGTTCTCTGTGTTCTCTGTGTTCTCTCTGTGTTCTCTGTGTTCTCTGTGTTCTCTCTGTGTTCTCTGTGTTCTCTCTGTTCTCTCTGTTCTCTCTGTTCTCTCTGTTCTCTCTGTGTTCTCTCTGTGTTCTCTGTGTTCTCTCTGTGTTCTCTCTGTGTTCTCTCTGTGTTCTCTCTGTGTTCTCTCTGTGTTCTCTGTGTTCTCTGTGTTCTCTGTGTTCTCTGTGTTCTCTCTGTGTTCTCTGTGTTCTCTGTGTTCTCTCTGTGTTCTCTGTGTTCTCTGTGTTCTCTCTGTTCTCTCTGTGTTCTCTCTGTGTTCTCTCTGTGTTCTCTCTGTGTTCTCTCTGTGTTCTCTGTGTTCTCTGTGTTCTCTGCAGGGTCGTCGCTCGCAAACAATGATCGTATGGATATCAATAACCCCACATGACTAGGATTGCAGCTTTAATTCAATATAAATATTTGAAGATAAGTAAAGAAAGAATGTGGAAATATATAAACGCAGTAATACACGCAGTAATACACGCAGTATATAAACACAGTACTCCTGACCTCTTGTACTCGTCCTTGTTGGATCTGGTGCAGTTGACTCGCTCCACGAAGCCCGTCGGCCCGCAGGACGCCCAGGACGTCTGAGACAACAACAACAACATGTGTCGGCATGGTAACAACAACAACAAGCAGCAGCTGTAAACAAAGGCCTGCGAGGCGTTCAGGGTCTCTGGAGGCATCACTTTGAACACTAGCTGAACGTAACATTGTGACATGTGAATGTGCTTCAGACGAGTAGAGCCTCACGGTCTGGAAGGCGGTGCACGGCGAGCACTCGGCCGTCACCACGAAGTCCTCCAGCAGCCAGCAGGGGGCGCTCTGCTGCTTCACTGGGGGGGGGGGTTAATGATCAATATTATAATCATACTATTTATTTATAAAGTTTATTCTGATCTATCCTCACCTGTAGTTTTCTCCTCACTCAGCAGGGCGGCTCCAAACACTCTGAAACACACCGATAATCATGTTATCAATAATATTCATTAACATCAGATCAGAAGTACTTTATTGATCCCATTTAAAGTATACCATGTCTGACCTGAGGGACACCAGGCTCCAGAACAGCGCCTGGAGGACCAGCACCCGGGGCCTGCAGCAGGCTGAAGGGACCCGACACTCACTCTCCATCAGGAGGGAGCGGCAGCAGGGGGGGGGGGGGCCGCCACGCTGAGGACCTCTGACCCCTACTGATGACCTCTGCTGACCTCTGCTGACCCCCTCTGACCTCTACTACGGACTCAGCCGTTCAAAACTGCTTCTAATCTGTAATTAATGTTGTGTTTTATATATTTTAAGTGTGTTGTTTTAATGTTGTCTTTATGATTTCTCACTCTGTAAAGTGTCTTTGAGATTCTACAAAAGCGCTCTATAAATAAAATGCATTATTATTATTACTGTCTGTCTGTCTGTCTGTCTGTCTCTCTGTCTCTCTGTCTGTCTGTCTCTCTGTCCCTCAAGTAGTTGTCTCCAGGCTGAGAGAGAGAGAGAGAGGGAGAGTGGAGAGAGAGAGAGAGAGAGAGAGAGAGAGAGAGAGAGATAGATGTCATCACATGTCTCTTGTTAGACACTTTTATCCAAAGAGACTAAAGTACACTCAGTCCTGAGGACATTAACCACAGAGACAACGCACTGTCCCACTGAACCACAGAGACATGCTGACTGCAGGGGGATCGAACCGGAGCTCCCCTGACCCACAGCCTCATAACCCCCTGCAGAGGACCAGTCTGAGGTCAGGGGTCAGCTGGTCTGAGGGTCATGTGACCTGGCTCACTGTTACCACAGCTGGGAAGTTACTAAGTACTTTTACTTAAGTCTGTTTTGTTTGTACTTTATTTATACTTTAACTGCATGATCAAATATCACAGTGATTACTAAATGTACACTGACGGTCACTTTGTAGTATTAATACACGATGAGCTGAATATTTAATACTGATCACACAGTACTTCAGATAATACTTATAACATTATAATACACCATGCACATATAATCCTGTATAAAGAGTACTTCAGACACACTTTGACTTGAGGAACATATTTATATAAGGACTATTCCTGTGACAGAGTATTTAAAGTATTTGTACTTTAAGTAAAGGAGTATTTCAGCTGTGAGAGTTTCACAGAAACAAAACAAAGATAGCAGCCGTTAGCAGCTAACAAGCTAATCACGTGATTCTTCACTATTAACCGGATTACATCAGCACATACTTAAGGTGTGACGTCAGCAGAGATTTAAAGTCACATATTAAATAAATAACAACAACAATAATAAATAACTTTGTTTGGAAACTCCATGAGAAAACAAACGAGCTAATGTTAACGGTTAGCATAGTGTTTATTAGCAGCTACATGCTAGCGTTAGCTTAGCTCCGGACAGGTAAACACTCACCTGAAGCCGTCAGTCTGTTTCCGGTTAAAGGACCGGGATCTGACCGGGTTAACAGCAGATAAACGGGTCGGTACCGAGTCTGTTAGCCGGTTAGCTACTGTTACACTTCCGGTGCACACCACCACAATAAAAGACTCGCTGCGTTAAACACGTGTACACTTCCGGTGCACGCTTTCAGAATAAGAGTCCCTTATCACAGAGGACATATATTATATATCTAAATATAAATATATAAAGTATAAAACAGTTTGAACTTTATGGTTTAAATAATTTAAAAAAGGCAAAAAAAAAGCTGAAAATATTATTTAATATTTAAAGCTGTGAAAAGTAACTTTAGGTATTTTTATTTAAATACAACTACTTTGACTTCTTTACTGCAGTATTCAAAGGTTCTTGTACTCCGTTACATGAAGAGGGTTCTGCTTCTTATAGTCAGCTCCTTTATCATCAGATAGACTTCATGGTTCATTATTATATAGTATTGTTTGCATATTAACTCTTCTCTAAATCTCCCTGGTCCCCGGCTTGATCTTCAATCTCAGGATCCATGTATCTCTGATCCTCTCCAGAATGGAAGTAGTCATCACATACAGATCATCAACTAGTTCCTGAACAGTGTCCTTCACATGCTGATATACAAGAGAGGGAGTTACACAGTCACAAGATGGAGGAATAGAAAGCAGTATTCAATGTTTACTTCAGATTAGCTCCACGTCAGAAATGATCATGCTTGTCATATGTCTATCTCCATAGAGGCTGAATCATCATGTTAATCACATAGCTATCATATGCCTAAAACAGTCCTGATGCTCTTCTAGGTAATCATACATCCTGTCATGTACACAGCTACAGTTGGGATACCTTTCTTATCATGTTACTCTCATGTTGGAGGAGGACGTTCAGTGTTTCCCCATCAGTCTCTCTCTCCTGAAACACGGGTCTCAGGTCTTCAGTCTCATTTATATATAAACGTGACTTCCTGCTGGACTTTCACAATAAAACTCTCAGAGGAAACATCTGTTTAATAAAGACCACTTTATTAGAGTTTCTCTCAATCTGTGTACTGTGTGTACTGTGTGTACTGTGTGCACTAATGGCTGTGTGCACTAATGGCTGTGTGTACTGTGTGTACTGTGTGTACTAATGGCTGTGTGTACTGTGTGTACTGTGTGTACTGTGTGTACTAATGGCTGTGCAGGTAGAAGTGAGAGCACCTGGAGCCCCGCGGACACACACACACCTGGACAGACCGGGTCTCACTGCGGCCCTTCCAGCAGAACCTGTCTCTGTGACACTGAAAGACAGACAGGTGAGAGACAGAGAGACAGACAGGTGAGAGACAGAGAGACAGACAGGTGAGAGACAGGTGAAAGACAGACAGGTGAGAGACAGACAGGTGATAATATATATATATATATAATAAACCCAGCACCTCTTTTCACCCTCTGTCTGAAACCAGAGCCCAGTCTACTCTGATTGGTTAGCTGGCCAGCTCTGTTGTGATTGGTCAACCAGTTAGACATGTCCCGCCCCTTAGCCTATCACGTACAATGTGTGGGAGCGCTAGCCAATAGGAGCGTGAGTGTTAGAGCTCACTAGACATCTGATAGTGATGTCACCACGTTGTCAGAACATCACAGTCAACATGAACATGAAGCAGTGTTTACCAGCAGGGTGACTCTGCGTCTCCTCAGCCGGCGGCAGAGACCTGGGAGACGCCTGAGACCTTTCTGTGTCTTCAGAGAGACCCCTCCAGACTGAGAGACTCCTCCAGACCCTGAGACCTTCAGAGGAGAGACTCCTTCAGACTGAGAGACTCCTCCAGACCCTGAGACCTTCAGAGGAGAGACTCCTTCAGACTGAGAGACCCCTTCAGACCCTGAGACCCCCACCTGAGGAGACAGAGAGAAACCTCACTACCAAACACACCTGGAGGCTGAGGCAGAGAGTTACAGTTATATATCATGAAATGAGACCAGTGATACTTTTCTACGATAGAGAACCCCCCCAGCTGTCAGTGAATAAATCAGTCTCTCTAATTGAGCTGAACTTCCTACCAGAATGCACCTGTGATGTACCTGCAGGCGGGGGGGCAGGTGGGAGCCGGCTCTCTGCAGACAGACGAGCAGCAGGAACAGGAAGCACACCTGACCCTTCATCTGTCAATCAATCAACCTGTCAGTCAACCTGTCAATCAACCTGTCAATCAATCAACCTGTCAATCAGCTATGACGTCCTCATTAACCTGAGAGCAGTCCCTCTCCAGGTGGTCCTCCCTCTCTCCCCTCTTCCTCTGAGAGACACTGAAGGTGTAATCCTCTTCCTCAGGTTTAGGAGTCACATGACGATGACATCACTCTGAGCTGCAGGTTGTTGATCCTGAGTGTCCAATCAGATCCTTTCAAAACAGGTTGTTGATCCTAAGTGTCCAATCAGATCCTTTCAAAACAGGTTGTTGATCCTAAGTGTCCAATCAGATCCTTTCAAAACATGGGCAGCTTTAAAGATTACATCTTCATTTAAAACCTGCACACATTTTAGGTCCTTTTTAAAAATATACAAAATGCTGTTTGTTTTATTCCTCTGTCTCTCAGCAGAAGAAGAAGAAGGAACTTCCTGTGGACATCGACTGTAAAGATATAGATGAGGGTGTAGATCTGAAGACAGGACGTAGAGAGTAGTGATGGGAATTCCGGCTCTTCTTGGTGAGCCGGATCATTTGGCTCGGCTCACCAAGAAGAGCCGGCTCTTTCGGCTCCCAAACGGCTCTTCAGTTTACCACATATTATACCTTTTATAATTCAATCAAATGTAGCCTTGTTTTGACTAATGATTTATATGTGTACACATATCACTTAAATTATTCAATACATCCTTTGTACTGAAGTATTCAAAAGTAAAAATGACATGTTTAATATCAATTATTTGCTGTGGCCAATTGTTTTCATTGCATTTACAGACCCTTGTATCTCTCTGATACCATCCAATGAATGCACTGACTTGCTTGTAGAACCACGCTACACAAAGCAGATAGCAACACCTATAACAAAACCCGAGGTGACAGGGCTTTCAGTGTTGCAGCTCCTAGACTGTGGAACAGCCTCCCAGTACATATCCGGACTGCTGAGTCTATTGAACTTTTTAAATCTCAGCTAAAAACTCACCTCTTTGCACTGGCTTTTAATACTAGTTGAACATTACATTTTTACATTTGTATGTGTTTTTTTTTAAATATTTTTCTAGTTATTGTGCTTTTTATCATGTTTTTAATTATTGTTTTATTATTGTACTCCCATTGTGTTATTTAATATGTATTGCCTGTACAGCACTTTGGTCAACTGAAGGTTGTTTTAAATGTGCTATATAAATAAATAAAGATTGAGATTGAGATAAAAACTTAAGCATAGACATTTTAAAAAAGGGGCTACTGTATCGACATTTTAAAATTATATTTAAAGAAAAGGCCCTGACAAAACAGCAGGGCTCTATTTCAGTAGTAACTATAGAAAAAGAGACAGCAACAGCTGACATCAAATCTTTGCTGAGCCCAAGGATAATCATAAATAAATAACATAGTGAAAATAAATATATTGCAATGCTCAGTACAGCAGCATCCAACCGTCTCTAATCATAAAAAAACATAATAAAAATAAATGTATTGCAATGCTCAAAACAGCAGCATCCAGCAGTCTCTAATCCTTGGATATTACATGTCACTGCATGCATGCACGGAGCAGCTCTAGCGCGGAGATCATCATATCATTCTGTCTTGTATTACTTAACAACAAAATAACAAAAAAAACGGCTCGTTCGCGGGCGCGAGCCGGCTCCCGTCGTTCACTTAAAAGAGCCGGCTCTTTGAGCCGGCTCGTTCGCGACCGACACCTGCGACAGGAAGTTCACCTGGTTCACGCAGCTGAAGACTCACCGGTGTGTCGGCGAGGCGTCGCAATTATAAAATGTACATTTTCAGAAAGCTATAGTCCCTTTCTCAACAATATATTTCAGTTCATGGAAAAAGTATTTGGATAATAATGAAATGATGGCAAACTATTTGTACCATGTCCACCCTGTCAGGGAGGCTTGCTGGCAGGGTGGACATTTGTGGCTAATATTAGCATGTAATGAGCACATGGTGGACCTTAAGTTAGCAACATGATTCAGTTAGCAAGGTGACTGTGTACTGTTATATTTATTTCGAATTTCTGACACCACACCACGCCGCTCCTCCGCTCCCTTCACTGGCTTCCAGTAACTGCTAGAATCCACTTCAAGACTCTGGTACTAGCGTACCATGCTGTGAATGGTTCTGGCCCTTCCTACATCCAGGACATGGTTAAACCATACACCCCAGCACGTGCACTCCGCTCTGCATCGGCCAAACGGCTCGCTGCACCCGCACTGCGAGGAGGACCCAAGTTCCCATCAGCAGAAACACGTGGGTTTGCTATCCTGGCTCCAAAATGGTGGAATGAGCTCCCCATTAGTGATGTGTCTTTTAAGTGAACGACGGGAGCCGGCTCGCGCCCGCGAACGAGCCGTTTTTTTTTGTTATTTTGTTGTTAAGTAATACAAGACAGAATGATATGATGATCTCCGCGCTAGAGCTGCTCCGTGCATGCATGCAGTGACATGTAATATCCAAGGATTAGAGACTGCTGGATGCTGCTGTTTTGAGCATTGCAATACATTTATTTTTATTATGTTTTTTTATGATTAGAGACGGTTGGATGCTGCTGTACTGAGCATTGCAATATATTTATTTTCACTATGTTATTTATTTATGATTATCCTTGGGCTCAGCAAAGATTTGATGTCAGCTGTTGCTGTCTCTTTTTCTATAGTTACTACTGTTACGCCGATGATACACAGGTCTACATTTCCAGCAAACCCAACACTGCCCTCCCCCCAACCTCTCTCACCAACTGCCTCCAGGACATCAGGAACTGGATGAGCAGGAACTTCCTAAAGCTCAACGGCAGCAAAACCGAAGCCCTGCTGGTTGGCACCAAAACCACCCTCTCCAAAACCTCATCCTCCCCTGCCTCCAACCTCATCATTGATGGCTACTCCATCCCCTTCTCTGGCCAAGTTAAGAGCCTTGGTGTCATCCTGGACAGCTCCCTCTCATTTTCACCTCACATAAATAACATCACCCGGACTGCCTTCTTCCACATACGCAACATCTCCAGACTCCGCCCATCCCTTTCTCAATCAAACACTGAAATCCTGGTCAATGCCTTTGTCACCTCCCGCATCGACTACTGTAACGCCATCCTCTCAGGCATCCCCACCAAGCTCATCAACAAACTACAAATCATACAGAACTCTGCAGCCCGGATCATCACCGGCACCAAGGCCTCAGAACACATCACCCCCATCCTCATCCAACTCCACTGGCTCCCCGTTCAATCACGCATCAACTTCAAAACCTACTGCTCACTTACAAAGCCCTACATAACCTGGCCCCCCCCCTATCTGGGCTGACCTTCTTCAGGAGTACACCCCGTCTCGCTCCCTCCGCTCCTCCTCTGCTGGTCTGCTAACCGTCCCCACCCCACGCCTCGTCACCATGGGTGCTCGGGCTTTTAGCTGCACTGCTCCCAGACTCTGGAACTCCCTCCCCCCGCACATCCGACAGTCAGACACAATCACCATATTCAAATCCCAATTAAAAACCCACCTGTTCAAATCTGCCTACTCACTGTAGTCCTCCCTATTATATGTTTAATTTGTGTCCACTTGACTGTCTCCTCCATGATTTCCTGTTTGTGTTTTTATCATGTTTTGCTGCCTATTAGCGTTTTATTTATTTATTTTTTAACAAATTGTACGGTGTCCTTGGGTGTCATGAAAGGCGCCTAAAAATAAAATGTATTATTATTATTATTATTACTGAAATAGAGCCCTGCTGTTTTGTCAGGGCCTTTTCTTTAAATATAATTTTAAAATGTCGATACAGTAGCCCCTTTTTTAAAATGTCTATGCTTAAGTTTTTATCTCAATCTCAATCTTTATTTATTTATATAGCACATTTAAAACAACCTTCAGTTGACCAAAGTGCTGTACAGGCAATACATATTAAATAACACAATGGGAGTACAATAATAAAACAATAATTAAAAACATGATAAAAAGCACAATAACTAGAAAAATATTTAAAAAAAAACACATACAAATGTAAAAATGTAATGTTCAACTAGTATTAAAAGCCAGTGCAAAGAGGTGAGTTTTTAGCTGAGATTTAAAAGTTCAATAGACTCAGCAGTCCGGATATGTACTGGGAGGCTGTTCCACAGTCTAGGAGCTGCAACACTGAAAGCCCTGTCACCTCGGGTTTTGTTATAGGTGTTGCTATCTGCTTTGTGTAGCGTGGTTCTACAAGCAAGTCTGTGCATTCATTGGATGGTATCAGAGAGATACAAGGGTCTGTAAATGCAATGAAAACAATTGGCCACAGCAAATAATTGATATTAAACATGTCATTTTTACTTTTGAATACTTCAGTACAAAGGATGTATTGAATAATTTAAGTGATATGTGTACACATATAAATCATTAGTCAAAACAAGGCTACATTTGATTGAATTATAAAAGGTATAATATGTGGTAAACTGAAGAGCCGTTTGGGAGCCAAAAGAGCCGGCTCTTCTTGGTGAGCCGAGCCAAATGATCCGGCTCACCAAGAAGAGCCGGAATTCCCATCACTACTCCCCATTGACATCAGGAAAGCATACACATCTTCCGGAGCAGACTGAAAACTCATCTCTTTGACTCCACTTCGAGCGATACAATTACTAACAAAGCACTTATATACTAACAAAGGACTGGCTTATCTAAAGCCAGTTGAGTAGCACTTGAAATGTTGTGGCTCTATGAAACCTGATGTACTTATATGATTCTGTTTTCTTCAACTTTGTATCTTCCTGGTCGAATGCACTTATTGTAAGTCGCTTTGGATAAAAGCCTCAGCTAAATGCAATGCAATGTAATGAAAGGTTTTCTATGAATTGACATTTCACTATGACAGAGTGGACATGTTAAGCTTGACAACATCCAACTACACACATAATATGATTAAAATGACCAAATATAAGTTTAAATACTTACTCTGCAACTATAGCCACTGCCTCAGCCTCCATTGAGACAACATGATGGTAGTAATAATGTCACTGAAAACAGAGGGGTTTTTATGGGGCAGTTACCCCTTAACGACAGGGTGGACAGCAAATGTCAGGGACACATGCAACATGTTCAATATTAGTATGAAATAGAATATACATGATCAAAATGACTCGTTTGATCAAATAACTTGTTGTGGACAATAGAACCATATCATTATAAATGTAGTATGATTTAACCACGTATTACACACACTGTAGTTAGCAGAGCAGTGTGTGGGACATGCCAACATCACGT